TTAATGTCCTTCCTTGGCATTGTGATGACCCGCCAGGACTCCTTGCAGTGGATGCAGCACCGTGTGCTAATCAGTGTCCAGTTGTGCACATGCAGGTTGCTCCCCAGTGTCCTTTAGAACTTATATTACATCTGTTACTCTCTAACAAATCAGGCCACGATGAGCACGATCTTCTCCTTGCCTCTTTGCTCATTACTGTGTTCCTCTTCCTTGAGCAGCTCAGAGGGAGTGCACATTTTGAAAACCTTTATCACAAAGTGTGCTCCAAGACAAAAACCTAAGCTTGCAGTCATGAGGTAAGAATAACATTCTTGTACAAACATTGAAAAAAAAGTTTATAAAAAGAAAGTGAGTAATAATATCACTAATGACAACGACATTGTATTGGCTGAAATACTACATTATCAACATTTAATAGAGCAAGAGAATTCTAGAAAAGAGTGCTTAAAAGTGAATGGAAGGATATATAACTAAACTTGTTAATCTAAATTAAAAAAGGTCTGCACTCTCACTAAATGTTCTGAGTTTAATGGACACTTCAGTTTGGGACGGTCTCATCAATACTACTTATTTACATCGGTATACCAGTACGACTTGGGTTTTGTAGCATACTGTGGAAATCAAGTCATGCTACATTTAATCTCTTTGTATTGTCCTTCTGTCTCACTAGTCTTTTCTCCGGGTCTTGGTGATGTCCTCAGTCCTATAACTGTGTGTAAACTTAGTCTGGATGGGCACATACACCGATTTTTAATGGAAGGTCCACACTTACATCAGATTTTCAAGGCTTAGCTCAAATAGTCTTAGGATTTTGGATTGAGTGCACTGCTGGTCCACTATTGGTTTTGAAATCATTTCAGGAACACCTCAGGTCCAGTGTGGTTTTCTGAAAGGTTCATTGAGTACTATTCTAGGCATTAGACACTGGGAATTCAATGCCAAAGAAAACTATTTAGAAAAGCTTGACTTACATCGGAGGTACTAACTGAAGAGAGAATAATTGGGCTACTCCTAAGATGCTGCAATGCCATTGTGACGGCCTGCTCTGGGCCTGGTGCCCTCTGCCCTTGTCCAGTCTACTTGTAGAAGAGACCTAGACTCTTGGTTCCCAAATTTATTTGACCTACTGCACCCTTTTCAGAAAGAGAGAGAAAAAATGACTTAGTGTCCACTTGGCAATGAAAAACGTTTGAACGATCACCCATAACCCCCAGAATAAGTCACCCAGAATAAAGTGTAGGTATCAGCCTTTGTACATTGCTCTGCCCACCCCACCACCCCACACACTCCCACCCCCACCCCTACCCGATGAATCCAGCCCCTGCCAGGGGCAGTATCACCCTCTTTGGGAAACACTGAACTAGGCACTTTTCTGCCATCCTATACTTTTACCCACCTGGCTCCTGAAACTTGGTGGAATTCCCACCAACAGAGGTGTTCTGGGCCTCTGTTCCTTATGTCTGTACTTAGCTGGATTGCAAACGTTTCTTCATGTGGAACCCCATTTAAACTGGCCTCCTTTGTTTCGGAGATAGAGCGAAATCAAGCTGGTTTTGGATGCCAGTTCTGCTGCCAACCTCCTGAGAGCCCTCAGGCAAGTTATTATTTTAGCCATTCCTATGATACATTGAAGTATCAGACCCCAAGATCAGGTGATGGCGTTTCAGCTGATATTTCAGACCCCAGTGGTATGGCTTTCACTTTGAACAGGACATACCTCTGGGGACCTGCATTCTGAGACAAGATGGTTGAAGTGGGCCTACCCAAGTTGCAGCGAATGAATGGGCCTCCCTGTGGGAGCCATCACTCTGCGCAGCAGCGCACACGTTTGTCCCATTGCACCAGGCCCTTCGTGCGATTGCAGCTGAGTTCAGTGCTCTCCCTTGCTCTCTCCTTCCCCAGTGCTGACCAGGCCCTCGATCGATTTGCAATGAAGAAGTTTTATGACGATAAAGTTTCAGCTTTAATGCAGCCATCACAGAAACGGTATGTACCTACTCTGACCACTTACCCTGTGCCCACCTCCACAGCGAAGTGAAAGTTTACCTGGGATTTTATGTGTTTTCACAAAGCCAACGGACACTTTTCCGGAAGGAGGCAGAAGCGACACCTCCTCTATCACTCTTAGCTGGGTCCTACCTGCCCATCTGAGAGAGGCCATTTTCACAGTGACATGAGACATCAGTAGGGCTGGGAGTCGGCGTGGTGGTGGTGGAAGCCACCTATGTGGTTGGCTACTTTTTGAGAGAAAACTTGCTACGTCCTCCTCCATTTGATCAGCAGTTTTGGTCTTCCGCTCCTAGGGCCAGTTTCCCTTTCCATGATCATGGTAGAACTTGTTTCGATCCAGTGTCCGTAAACGACATAGCTAATGGCAGATATTTTAGACTCTGCAAACCATGTGGTCTCTGTCACAGTTGCTCAGCTCTGCCATTCTATCAAGAACGCAGCCACAGACAACACGTCAGTGAATGGTCACGGCGAGGTCCCAATAAATCTTTTCTACACAGATAGATGTGTTCAAGTGTGGCCCACATGCTAGACAGCCTGCTCCCTGAGGCCAGGGCAGTATTTTTTATTTTTGTTTTTTTCATTGGCGCATTTTCCCCTCTTCTACTGCTCATGGTACCTGTGGTCCACAGAAGACGTGCGGTCAGTGTTGGGCGTGGCCGTGGTGAAGCCGGCCTGTAGACTGCGGTGAAGTGGAAGAACTGGAAAGGCAGTGAAAGGCTGGGAGCCAACTTTCCTTCCAGACCCACTTCCTCTACAGATGATAACTTATTCAGCCAACGACAACGCTCCGTTCTGTTACCCTTTACGCCGAGTGACAGTTTGTGTGAGAATTGCCAAGACATTTGCCAAAGAGCTTCGACCATTCCCTCTCTTGAAGTCCGTGATGGCGTGTGCAGGCAGCTGCTGTGGGCAGACGCGAGGCCTGCGTCGGGGAGGCAGGCTCAGGGTGCCTGGTCGTAGGAGCGGAGTCTGATTGTTTCCTTTTGGGAGAGAGGTTTCCAGAATTACCGGTGCACCTTTGGTTTGGCTTGTCGGGCGTTGCAAATGGCACGGTCCATTTCTTTGCACCAGGTTGTGCTTCAAAATGTGGGATCCAGACGTGGACCTGCTCTCAGTCTTCTCTGAGCCAGAGACCCCACAGAGAATGAGAAACCCCCACAGTCTACCAGTGTTACTTTTCAAAGCTTGTTGTTCCCCCTTGACCCATCAGGTCTCATTCCTCCGTTGAGTCGTTTTCAAGGCTATTCAAAACACCTGGCACACACCTGGAAATTATAGTTGTTCTTATTGCCCCCTTATTAGCTACTGCTCTGTAAGATTTATAATATCAATAGAAAATTCTGGGGGGTGAGCAGGGAGAATCTTCTCACTTCGATATACCTAAAAATTTCATGTATAACGTGTTTATAATAGGTCACCAGGAGACAGTAAGAACTGGCTCATGGCAAGTAAAACCACCCCCAAAGTCTTCATGTGTCCTTCATGTCATTACATATGTCAAGGCCTAACAACTAGACTTCTGTAATGATGTATGAGTTGCGTTTTGCCTTCCAAGATTGTCAACAGTCTCCTTGTAGCCAGAGATCAAGGGAAAGGACCCTGCCTGCACTCAGAAGTTGCTAACCAAATTGTTACTGAGGCTTTGACTAACTGAATGAATGGATAAAATGAATCTAGAGGAATATTGCAACCCTAGGCCAAGCTTCTTGGCATTTCATATCACAAAATATAGCGAGGGCATTCTATTTATAGGTCTAGGCTCCTTAGTAAAAACCCCTGCCTGCTCCCAAACTCCCTGGGAGCTCTGTGGACTATTCTCAGACTGAGTTCAAGAAACCATTTCACAATCAGTCTCCTAATAAGGAAAGTAACTTACTTAGCTTGGTATTTACAGCCCCAAGAAGCTTACAGATTCAGCAGTGACTTCCCCAACAGTCATTAACAGAGAAATAACCCAGCTTCTCCGAAGGCCTTTTTTTCATAAACATTTGGCTTAGCCTCATTGTTATGCAGGCAGTCCATTAGTTAGGAAGTAAATCCTCTGTTGCTTTGCTTACTACAGGAGACAGCCATGCAGACCACAGGAGCCCACTCCCTAATAGCCCTGGCCTCTTTAGTTGTTTCTAGCACAAGAACTGTGGTCCTGGACAGTCTTCGCTTCATGCCTTTAACCTTCAGCAGAGGGTTGCCATTAGCAGTAGCTCGTCAGAGCCCTGGTATTGGTCTCTTGTCATTGGTGTTGGTCCCTGGGTCACGGCAACACTCTGCACAATAGGGTGGCATCGTGTGATCCATAGAATTTTCCTGGCTGGTTTTTGGAAGTCTGTCAGAAGCTGAGAGTCAGGCCATTCTCCTTTGACTTAGTCCGCAAGTTCCACTGAAACCTGTTCCACATCCCAAAAACAACACCCCCCCCTCGACTAGCAGAGGGGTGGTGGCTGAGCATGGGGTACACGAATCAGACCTGGGTCTCCTGTTTCAAAGGCAGCGTGCTGCTACTGAGCCACCAGTGCAGCCAGCCTGTCTCCCTGTGACCCAGTGATAATCACTGATGTTACGTCAAAGATCCCTGTGAACTGGGAGCCCCTTATATAGTCTGAGTTTATCATCTCTATAATTGAAGTGATTCATCAAATTACTACATTACTGACCCCAGTCCTTTTCTTGTTTTTCTTTTCCTGTTTCTCCCCCTTTTCCTGTTCTGTTCTTGAGATGGGGTTGAGAGAACAGTGCCATGCCTGGATTTCAACACTTTGTGTGTCATAGGGGAGAAAGGGTGGTGACCATTCATTCTTGGGACAGCAAATATCTGAGGGCAAGAAGCAAAATGATCCCTAAGAGGCGTCAGCCCCATGTCCTTTATGCATAGTCATGGGTGTCCCTTTGAGGTGCAAGAAAGACCGGAAGTCATGACACACAGAAATTAGGATTTCCTTAATTTTTACAGTAGCTAGAAATGACACTAACATTGTGGTATTATTTGATCATTAATATTTCTATGGTTTTTGACATGATTGCATGAAGGACTCAAAGAACACTTGGCTGTAAGACAAGGAAAGATGGCAGAGAGATGTCTGTCTAGGCTCTTTTCTTTTGGAGCAGACTTACAGCACGTGGTGGCAGGGAGACCCCACCTACCCAGCCCCACATGCAGAGGTCGAAAGGAGATCGGTCATCCCGCAGAGCCGAGCAGCTGTGACCCGGCCTAGCAGCCTCTCTGCACCACAAGCCCCAACTCATCCAGGTGCTGAGAGATGCTGTCACTGCCAGGAGAGAGTCTGGGACCTCGCTGCATAGTGCCCACCGTCTCTTCTGGCACCATCCTGGTACTGACAGCCATGCACCTCCCCTTAGAAGCCATCCTGCAGGATCGGTCGCATGACTCTACCTTTTCACAATGGGGGATGCTTGATTAATGTCGTCAGCTGCTCACTAGAGAGTTAGAGGTACCTTGACCGGAAGCCTGGTAGTGGACTTCTGAAACACCCGCCAGTGAGGAGCCTATGGAGAATAGGTCTACTCCCATATCAGTGCGTTCTCCTACGCGCCTCACGGAGAGCATCTCAACCAAAGGACCCTCCGTGTTTATCTGCAGGTGTAAGATGCAAGGTCAGTTTCCTTTAGAAGCCCAAGTCTGCGTGTACTTTGGGCCCAGAGGGAGGCAGAGGCCGGGTAGGGGTGGTGTGGTCACCTGTGTGTGAGTTGCCCTAAGCAACCAGGAAGTGCCACTGGAGTGAAACATGTGGCTATGACTGGAGCTCTCCAGGGCCAGAGGGAAAACTACTGCACAGAAACATGTGTGTCTAAGACTAAGGGGGAAAGCCAATGAGTCTTTTGCATTTGCTGAAAACCCGGGAAATCAAGAACCCATGACACCTGAAAAGGGTAAATTGTATTGTTGCATGCCATTTGGACAGCAGAAATGGGTTTCTGAGAATGTAATCTTTATTGGACTCGATCGCCAGGTCGTTTGGTGGATTCGACCCGCTAAGCTTTGCTAGTAGCTGAAGGCGTGTGCCACCAGGTATCCTGGGATAGCATTTAGGAGATTAAAACTAATCAGATGGCTCACCCATTTCTAAATGCCAAGTAGGCAAGGAGTGTGGCGCCCTCTAGTGGTAAGACCTGCGCTCAGCCCTGTCCCCTTGATGTTTAGGCTTGCCACTGTGAAGTGTCAGGCTGCTCTGAACCAAAAACAACGCAGTTTGCCACTGTGAAAATGCAAGTACTGAAATGCCTTGTTTACACACACACACACACACACACACACACACACACACACAGCGGCATAGCTTCATTTCTAAAATTCTTTTATGATACTAGAATATATCCTTTTTCTAATG